ACCACCACCACCACCACCACCACCACCACCACCACCACGACCACCACCAGAACCACCACCACCACCACCACCACCACCACCACCACCACCACCACCACCACCACCACCACCACTACGCGCCAGCACCCAGTTGCGCCAGCATTGTTTCTTATGTTGTGGGAGGGCGGAACGTGTCCGTTGTTCCTTTCATCATGGCATGTCTTGTCGTCGACGATGCGAAATGCGTGGCGGGAATGGGACGCGGCGCACATCCCGCGCGGACGTCAATGCGGTGTCCTGGGGTATCCTCCACTCGCACTGAAATCCCCGCGCAGCTCCCAGTTGTGCTGTCAGTGTTTCTTATGTTGTGGGAGGGCGGGTGGGAATGGGCAGGCCATGCTTGGCTCGCTCGAGCTGGCTAGCTTGACGCGAACCCTACCCCTACCCCCCAAGATTTCTGAGGGGGAGGGTGGGGTTCACTTCGCTCGGGAGCTCCCGAACGAGGTGAACCCCACCCTCCCCCTAAGGAATCGTGGGGGGTAGTGGTAGGGTTCGCGTGTGGACCCTATCCGTGCCGATGCGGCCTGATCCGATGCATGTTCCGATGAGTCCCGACTTCGCGATGCGATGCCGAGTAATCCTGCCATCAGTCGCCCGGGCGTCTCCAGAGTCCCCCTCGAGGTTCAGGCGGGCTGAAGCGGGGCCGAACACCCGAAACAATTTCAATCCTCAGTCCTCCATCCCCCTCCTCCTTCGGGGGCGTTCAAGGGGATGGGAGTGGGGGGTGGGGACTGGGGGGGGATAGCATGGAGGGTGTCATGATATCTGGCACAGGTATCACGGCCCAGTCCTGTTCCTTCAACTTTCCCCATGGCCCCCCCCTCGGCCGTTTACGCGACTCGTGCCATGCTTTGCGACACCCCTCCTTGACGCCATTCCCGTTTCGGCGCCCCCGACTCCTCGCTCCTCCTCCTCTCAGTGTCGTGGACCCGAAGCGCCACCTCTGTGCGCTTCCCTGGCCCGTGCCTGTGCAGTGGTGCTTGCCACCCCTCGGGGAGGAGGCGCCGTCCTCCCTGCTGCACGTCTGGGCAGCCGTGCTGCTGTCGACAAGCGTCGCTCCTCCTCCTCGCGGGAGGTGTCCGACCACAAGGCCGACGTGCTCCACCACGTGGCGCAGCACCGCGCGGCCTGGCTGCCGCAGCTGGCCGCGCGCGCGGGCGGCGCGGCCGCCGTCGGGCCCCTGCGGCCGGAGGCCGTGCTGCTCGTCGACGACGAGAGGGCCAACTTCAGGCACTACAAGGGCGACGGTGCCGTCACCGAGGCTCTCCGCTGCTGCAAGGTGGAGCCATGAAGCATCGAGCCCCGGGTCGACTATACAGAGAACCGATGTGCCCCAAGAGTGTTTTTTCGCATGTCTACAGGAGTTGTGCGTATCCGTCGTAGGTCCGAGAAGAAACAGTTTAAGAAACATGCTCGGGCACATCAATTCTGTAGTCGATCTCCTGCTCGAGTACTTGAGGGGAACGGGTCCTGGTGGGCCCTCCGAGGGTCCCAGGAGCGCCAGCCAGAGCGCCCCGCGATGTCGGGCCGGCCCCGGGGTCCAGGGACGGTCTCTTTTCCTGGACCCGTCTGCCTCGTGCCAGTGAGGTGCCCCGCTACGACGACCTCTACCGAGATTGCGGGCCGCTGAACCAGCTGGGTGGGCTCGGCGCCCACAGCGACGCCGATTACGACTCGGTGCGGCGCTTCGTCGAGGAGCCGTGGAACCCGTCGTCGTCGTCTTACCGTCGTCGCCGTCGCCGCTGCCGTCGCCGTAGCCGTCGCCGTCTCCGGCGTCGCCGTCGTCGTCGCCGTCGTCGTTCGTCGAGGAGCCGTGGGAGTTCCCCTCCCTGGACACGCAGTTGTCCTTCGTGGCGGCCGACCTGTCGGACAACCACGTCGTTGCCGTGGAGTCCGAGGATAGGGCGGCGCGTTCTATACAGATCCACCGCCGTTGGCCGGGCCTAGGGCCCAGGAGCAGTGCACACGCCCCCCTGGCCAAGCCAGGGGGGATACACTCCGCTCTCCAGTTCAGGATGGGCCTGGCCAGCGGCGGCGGAGCTGTAGAGTCGGACCGAGGTCTGAGATCGAGGTCGGTTCGGGGAGGGTACCCTTGTGTTCCTCGTGCTTGTTGGATGGGACCGTGCATCCTGAGGGGGGTACCCTTGGATGCTCTGTGTGTTCTGGCCGGCGGAGGGCCTCATCTTCTTGAAGAATGTTCTTCTGTCTCAGGTTTGGTTGTGTTGATCTCGTGGCCCTACAGGAGCTGGCCCTGCTGCCCCGGGAGCGCGGCCCGAAGACCCTCTTCGGGCGGCGGGCCCCCGTCCGGCGGCCAACCCGGGGCTCCTCGGGCCTCCTGGGCCCCGCGGCGTGCAGCCTCGCGGGCTGCCTGCGGTGGGCGCGCGGGGTCTGCGCCGCCGGCTGCGGCGCGCTGGCGCCCTAGCTCGGTGGCTCCCAGGCGGGGTCCTGAGGTGCGGGCCGGGGCCCTCAGCACACGCGGGTGTCCCCTCCTTCAAGCAGTGGCGAAGCGTCCTGGCTCGCTTGTAGCCCTACCAAGCAATATTCTAAGAACCTTTTGTGGTTCCCACGGAATGTTCTTGGAACAGTTCTGGCGGAGTCTGTCTTGTTTTATCACATCGGGTTTATGTTCTAAGAACATCGTTTTTGTTCTTAGGACACTTTTGGGTTCTTAGAACATTCCGTGGTAGGACTATAAGAATGCCGGGACGGTCGGTCCCTGCGCAATTCCTGTCCTCGGGGACCCCCTCCCTCAGGACCACCCCGCCTTTGAACCACCGACTGGCCGCCCCCCCTCCGCGCGCCGCCCGCCCGCCGTTCGGTGTGAAGAGCGCTGCCGCGGCCGCCGCCCGCCGCGAGGGGCGGCAGCTGGCCCTCGCGGGCGGGGGCCGCGCGGTGGCGGCGCCCTCTCGCGGCCCTCGCTGGACCCAGACCCCCTCGGGTCATGCAAAACAGATCACAAGGGAAGGTTTTTGGGGATTTTCGGCCTAAGGGGCCCTCGCCGTGCCTCGGGACGGTCATAAAACGACTCGGGATGAGACTTCTGGGGATCGCACGGCCTGAAGAAGTCATCACGCTGGAGGTCTGTGTCTCTGGATGGGCGGGGCCCGCTGGCCGGTCACCACAGGGCTCCCCGCGCGACAGGGCAGTCTCTGGTGGGCGCGACGGGGCATCCGCGCCAAGCGCGATGGGCACCGAGTCGGCGCTGCGCGGAGCCGCCACGCACGTGCAGGCACCAGGCCTGGCCACCTGAACTTGCGCGCGGAGCTCGTCCAGGCTGCTGCGTTCGAGGGTGGCCATCATCGAGCAGCGCTTCCTTGGCGCCGCCGCCATTGGGGAAACCAAAAGGTACCGATGCCGCTACTCCCTGGACCTCTCCCAGGGGGCGTTCTGACAAGAACGTTGATGCGAATCCAGCGATGGCGACGAGGACCTCCCCAGAGGCCCCGAAAGGCGAAAACGAGAAAGAGGTAGCGTCTTGGGTACTTTTTCCTCCCCCCCAATCATACGAGATGGACGGGGCGCTGAGACCGCTGAGCGCCCGGGTAAATTCTAGAGGAGTTCAAGGGTGCGGCGGACGTTGGCGGCTCGCAGAAAGGGGCGGCGGAAAAGACTCTGCTTCCAGGGCGTCTACGGAGGCATGGACCTTGGGCGCCTTGCTGCGTCGGTTTGCGCGCGTTTGGAGCCACGAGGGTATAGATATTGGTCTGGTTCGTCCCTGGCTGGCTGGTATCCCTAGTCAATCAGCTGTTTCCTTGGTCTGCTTCATCTGGGTACATGTCTTGAATAGAGCACTGCGGTCGCACACTTCCCGCCTCCCTCTTACCGTCGTCCTGCCTAGATGCTCGGCGAGGGGCTGCGATCTGCAAAACTGTCGCCACTTTCGAGGGCTGCTGAGGGGTCCAGTGGAGTGACGTGTTACGCAGTCCCAAATTAGACCTCACCACCCTTGTGGGGCTGCGATCTGCGAAATTATCTCCACTTTCGAGGGCTGCTGCGGGGTCGAGCGGAGTGACGTGCTACGCAGTCCCAGCTTAGACCTCGCCATCCCTGTGGGGCTGCGATCTGCGAAACCATCGCCACTCTCAAGGGCTGCTGGTGGGTCCAGCGGAGTGACGTGCTACGCAGACTCAAATTCGACCTCACCGTCCTTCTGGGGCTGCGGTCTGCGAAATCGTCGCCACTTTCGAGGGCAACCCGGGTCCAGCGGAGTGACGACCCACGCAGATTCAGATTAGACCTCGCCATCCTTGCGGAACTGCGATCGACAAAATTGTCGCCACCTTTTAAGGGCTGCTGGGGGGTCCGGCTGGGCGCTGTCGCGGGCCGCCCTCAGATCTGGCGGCGCGCCTTCGAGCGTTTAGCTCCCGCACTGGAAAGTGGAGGAAGGAAGCAGGGAAGCTGGCGGGCGAGCTAGGCCTCGTCCGCTTCTTGCAACAGCGACACGCAGGTTTAAGAATGTTGTCAAGCGCCGCGGCGGCATGGCGCATGCAACGCTGCATCTTCAGCGTACTACCGACAAGAGCGACGCTCTTCGGTCTCCTCCCGTCACTTTCGTCGTCGTCTTCTGCCCCTCTGCCACCTTCCCTCTGCTGCTGCCGCGCTGACGGGTCGCCCCCCGCGCGTCCTTGATGTGATTTTCATTTCCGCCCTCATGTCCCCCTCAAGCCTAGGCATTCGCTCCTCGTCATTTTGTTGTTGGCTGGTGAATCGTGCCCCGTGGGCGCGCCCCATGTAATTTGCAACATATAACGGGCCATGCGTTGTCATTGTCCTGGCATGTTTGGGCCAACTCGTCTTGTCATTTGATGCAAATGGGTGGGGTATGTCGCAGGGTAATGTTTTTGGTCGCGGTGGTCATTTTGATTTGGTTGCCGTGACTGGTCTGGCAGGGTTGGCTCGAGTGAATGCAGCTGGAGTGCTTCTTCGCGGGATCAAAGGAGCAGTAAGAGAAAAAAACGAGAGCGAGAGAGAGAGAGAGAGAAACGGCGAAAGAGAGAGAGAGAGAGAGCGAGACAGAGAGAGAGAGAGAGAGCGAGACAGAGAGAGAGAGATGCATACCTCTCTCTCTCTCCACACATATATATATACACATATAACGACAGAACAATATACACAAGTGAACACGCCGAGAAACATGACGAGGAATTTTTCCAACATTCGAACGAGGATTGTGAGGCAAAGCTCGACGGTGCAGTTCAGGAGGGGCAAATCAACACAGGCATACATAACGTCGACTGCCAGGAAAATCTGGGAAGAGGAGGAGAAGACGAACACCCATGGCGTACATAGACAAAGTATACATATATCTGCATATGTTGATGTATACTAGTTACATATACGTATTGACAGGTCGACAGAATCGGGATCCTTGGATTTGTGTATGTTTCTTTGTGTCCCCTTTGGCGCTGTTAGCAGAGAGCGGAGGGGGAGGCGCAGGACAAATGGCCGTGAGTGCTAACGAGGGGACGGGAGCGGGAGCAGCGGCGGCATCATCACAGGCACCGGCGGCAGGAGCAAGGCACCGAGAAGGAACGCGGGAATAAGAGGGAGGAGGAGGGGGGACGGGGAAGGGGGAGGAGGAGGAGGAGGAGGAGGAGGAGGAGGAGGTGGAGGAGGAGGGGAATGAGGAGGAGGAGGAGGAAAATAATGGAAAATAATAAGGAGGAGGGGGAGGAGGAGGGGGAGGGGAGGGAAGGAGGAAAAGGAGAAGGGGGAGGGGATGGGGGGGAGGAGCGGGAATTTTGGAGTTGCGCTCTGATTCGCCGAGGAGACGGTCAGCTTAGTGCGGCACCCACTAGCTACTGGCAGAAACACGCGGTATCTAGCAGCAGGGGCGCCAAAAGGTGTAAATGCTTTGCCCGCCCATGCACGTACCACCCCCCACCCTCATCGTCATAAAGCGCACATGGCGCAACACAGCGCTGCAGGAGAAGGGAGGACGCAAGAGGACGCATAATTATCATGAGGGGGGCGGGTGAGATACCCTGCGAAGGGCTGAAAAGGCAGCTAAGTGGGCGGGTGCGAAGCAGGGGCCCGCGGGATTGCACGATTGTCGCAAGCTCGTCCTGTGCCCCCTGCCTGCATCAACGCCGCATTGCGAACCGCATCCCCCCAACAAGCCTAAACCCACCCGCGGTCCCGACCATAGTAAGCTGAAAACGCAAGGCAGGGAATCGGGGAAGGTGAGACGGCCTGACGGTCCCGATGCGCGGGCGCGGGGCGGCGCGCATGTCTGTGCCCGCCCAGAGAGAGGTTCGCCGTACCTGGTACGGCGCCCGAAACCTGTCGAACTGGGGCGGCAGCTATAGACCGAGCGGAGAAAGAAGCACCAGGAGGCAAGGGGAGGCAGATCAAAGTGGGGAGCGGGTGAGATGACCTGCGGACGGCCGAAACGGCAGCCGAGCGGGCGGGCGCGAGGCAGGTGCCAGAGGGAGGGGGTGCACGATTTCGCACGGCCGACTTGTGGCCCATGCCTGATCCAACGCCGCGGTACGAAACTCGTCCCCGCCAGCAAACAGAAACCCTCCCTCGGACCCGACCATCGTAAGCCGAAGCGCTAGGAAGGGAAACGGGGAAGGTGAAACGGCCTTGTGTGCCCGATACGCGGGCGCGGGTTTGCGCGCGTGGCTGCCCGCCCCGAGAATGGTTCGCCGTGCCTGGTGCGGCGCCCGAAAACTATCGAACTGGGGCGGCAACTGGAGATCAAACGGAGAAAGAAGCATTAAGAACGCAATCGGGGCCAACGAAGGCAGCAACAGCATGGTCCTGAGCCATCATGCCGTAGAGCCACCCGTATTGCTTGCCACCAGAGAGCGAGCAGTCACACAGAAAGGTGGGTGAGAGAGGCGGCACAGAAGATGACAGCCATTTGCTTTTCTGCGCCCCCACTTGTCCGCTCCAATCACGATAAATGACAGGCAGCGGCCTATCCGAACAAGCCTCTGCCACAATTAAGATCAAGATTCCAAGGGGCTACTTCGTGCAAACGAGCCTGTTTCGCGTCCTTGAGTTTAGCAGCTCTTCTGACACGCGACTGCGCGCGATGTTGCGCAATTCGCTCCAAAACTTCAGGTGCTAACGGCGCAGGGATGGGCGGGCGGGGAGGATTTGTTGCCCTCTGCGCGTCACCAAGAAAGGCGCGTGCGTCTACATACTCCTGCTCCTCGTCCGCCTCAGGTGGGCCAGTGGGTCTAACCTCCGCCGTGTCCTCTCGAACCTGCGGGGTGGAAAGGGTAACTTGCTCTGATGTCGGGGGGGCGCGTAGCGGTCGAAAGCGATCGAACTCGGGGTCGCGTCGGACACCGCGTGTGCGCCGTGAGACAAAGTCAGGAGCCCACCCCTCGTCAGTGCCAGAATTGGGATCCCAGGAGACAAGGAACCGCAGTGGCCCATCACGTGCACTACCGCCCTCCCCCACGTCATC